TTTTATATTTAATAATAAATGAATATTGAACCTACCTTATAGCACAGGCAAAACTATTCATATTGATCAGAGCATACATACCATATTGAATCCTCATCGCAGTTTTTATAGTTGATATAAGAATACCTTCTTTTTATATTCTTTATATTCTTCAAGAAAAAGTCAAATGGGTTCATAAAAATTGTCTAATGCGAATGATTTATTAAACAAGGGTTTCAAATAAAAACGTCTACATTTATAAATTTATTTTATATTTATATTTTAGGGATTTTAAGTTGATAAAATTCTTATGAGCAAATATTTGCAATAATTATTTGCATGAGTATTTATATATTAATAATAAAGAGTAACTAATATCAAATCCATGTGATTGACTGTCTCCACCTTTCATTAGTTTTAAATATATTATTGTGAGATGTTCAGATTCAACTGAAGACTGAAGGAATCCAGCATTGTTCTAGTATGTATAAAAACATTCAAAAGTGTTTGAGAAGGCAAGTAAACAATTAAACGAGGCTCGATTAAAAACTTTTCAATATTTACATATTTTATAGCTTATTATAAATATTATATAATATCATGATTTATTAGGTTAGAAAGGAATTGCCAATCGTAAACAAAAACAATATATTCTTTGATCTTATTTAATAAATGCTAAAATCCACAAAAATGAGTTTCGCGAAGCAAGATCTGACTTGACTTTATGAGTTAAACATCGTACGTAAACATTGATATATAATGAATGGGTCGGAAGAAATCGAATTAGTTATTCTAGGTTATTCTATTCTGTACATTTTCATCGCAACTGCTGCTGGAGCTGAATTCGTCGGACTGTTGGTACTCGCCAGTTATTTGACAGTCGTCGGGGTCGTCATCATCGAGGTCACAGTGTACAAATTCGTAGGGGGGGAAGATCAGCGAGCTGAGCAGCGTTGCTGACGACTGGTAAACAGCCGGAGCAAACTGCTGGCACCTACTCGGCAGGGAGTTGAGGGGCTGAACGCCAACTGAAGAGCTCAGATCTTCAGGTGGTCTCGAGTCCCCAGCTCTCAAGCTCCAGCTCTGTCCTTCGGCATCAATTTCATTCGCGTGTTCGCGCTGCTGCCCAATCGCCGTTGAAGCAATATCCGTGGCTGGCTCCAGAGGAGCCAACTTCGGTTTATCCTATTTCCGGCGACGGGACTTGTTTCTACTGGTGTCCTCATGGGAGTTGTCTTCGTTCTCGTTCTGGCAGTTGTCAGCGGACCTTGGCGCGCTTTGCGCATCACTGCTCGACTTGATGGCTGCGATCAGGAATCTCAGTTGCATCAGCTGCACCGCTGTGACCCGGGGATTGCTGCAGTTCTCGAGCCACTGCAGGAACTTTTCGCCGTGACTAATGGCAACAACTTCTTCGATTTCAGCTGCATAATCCGCGTACTTGGCCCGCTCCTCCTCGTCGGTCTTGTTGGAGTTGTTGTTATTGTTGCTGGCACTGACGTCGTTATTGTTGTGGGGATGCGTATCACTGTTGAAGCTCGTCTCTGAGTCGCAGCCCAGCTCTGGGCTGACGGGCGTGGGGGGCTGTTCCGAGGCATCTGCGCCTGGATTGTTGCCAATTTTGTAGATTATATTGCTGAGGACGTTCTTGCAGTCCTCGCCCACACTACACGAGGTGCTGTTCAACTCGGCGCTTGGATTTGGCGCGGACTGACTGGTGACTTCCGTGCACGGCTCGGGAGTGTGATCACGGCTGTTGGCAACTACGTGTGGAGATGGCATAGTCGGGGTTGTGGAGGAGCTCGCTGATTTCGCAGACTTGGCCGACAGGTCCTCTGGTTTTCCCGAGACTTCGGGCTCAGCTTCAGGCCCTGCCTCCAGGTCCGTGGTCGCGTCATTCTGTTCCGTTTGATTCTGCTCGTTAGATGAGACGCTTCGTATTGATGGCGATGCGGCCTCCTTTGTCAACTGAGAGTATAGAATGTTGTCGAACTGCTGTTGTTGCTGCTGCTGTTGCTGTTTGCCGATATCATCGACATTCGTGGTCTCCGCCGTAGTCGACGACGCCTGATGGTGCAGTGAGTTTGCTTGCAGCGCTGCCAGCGCGGCCGAGTTCGGGTTGAGAGAGTGCAGACTGGCGCCGAAGGCCTTGCACCAGTTGTACCAGGCCGAGTTCTTGTCGTCCAAGCCCCCGAGAGCTGGCGATGATGGAGCCATTGGGGTCGACGGAACTGGCGGAGTGTTGGGATATTGATTCATCTGCTGCGGCGTCGAAGATCGGATTGGAGGACTTGTCACGCCCAATGCTGCTGGCGGGGGATACAGACTGTTCAGTCCCAGCATTGCCTGCTGTGACTTTAGCCAGTAGAGCAGAGGATCGTCGGGGAGGCCTGACAGCGGGGCAACACAGCCGACGAGTGAGGGAGCGAGCTTCGGACTCGGGCTCTTCATGTTTCCGTTCTTCATGTCACACTCTCCGGCAGCCGAACTGGTCCCTGATGGTTTCTGCTTGGCCCAGTTCTTGACGGACAGCGCGGGGGTGCGTTCCCGGTCACCGTTGTCGCTTTGAGGACTCTGTACTTGTTGCTGCTGCGACTGCACATTAGGCTTTGCGTTGCGCAATGTGTTGGCTGTGGCTGCAAAGTTATTTAATCCCGACATCGCTGCCAGGCCGGGGTTTAGCTGAGCCAGCAGATTAAGATTTGAGGTGAGCTCATTGAAGCTGATTGCTAGCGGGGACTGCGATATGCCAGTGAGGCCAGACAGATGGGTGAGACTCGAGAGAGGGCTTATGGCGCTTAGGGAGGGATCAGAGGGCCCGGACCGGGATATATCTGCACCAAACACTTTGTTTTTGATCGCGCCGTTGAATCCCACATAATCAACTGGTAATCCGTTGTAGCTCATTTCTGATAGACTTTTATTTGTACTATAATCCAATCCATTAAGAGGCGATCGCTTGAACGCGAGCTCGTCAAAGTTCATTTTATTGGAGAAATTCAGAGGCAGGGTGTTTTCTAGACGTTGGCGCTTCTCAGGCGGCCCCAGCAAGCCAGCAGCGCCGTCCAGCTTATCCACCAGCGAATCGGCGCACATCTTGTCGGCTGCCGATTGGCGGGACATGAACCGGAGCTTGTCCTCGTTCTTGCACCAGCCGCGCAACGTCGATTCGGGCACCCCTATGTCCCGGGCCACCGAGGCTTTGGATTCACCATCGTGGATACGCTGAATCGCATGAATCTTGTCGCGGGGGGTCAAGCTACGCAACGGCCGCTTGCCCTTCGTCCCTATGCGTATGTTCATGTGGGTATAGCTGGAAATATCCAACTTCAAGCCGTTATCAAACAGTTTGGATTCTGCAAGAAAGAACGAGAAGACGAGGAAAACATTTAAATTAATTACTGTAGCTGTGACACACTTAAGACGCACACGCAGCCACAGCACGCATATAATGAATGCAGCACATAGCCGAAAATAATGCGTTTCCATTCGCCAAGAGCCACTACATGCCATGTACATATGTAGAGCGAATGCTCAGTGCGCGCGCCATGTACTTTCCACTGGGGTTGTTGCGGCGCTCAGCTGAACGGCAAGGGCGAGTCGCACATTCGCACGAAGCTCCAATAAAATCGCGTCGCGTTTTAAAGTTTTACGGACAGCTCGCGAGGTAGATGTAAATAAA